TCAAATCCGACCATAATGTAACGACGATTACAAAGAACTGAACATTTAAAACATCGATAAGACAAATTAAATACAGCCAATTACCTCAATTATTTATTTATTTAGTATGATGATTATAAATTATGTCTTTGGAAATATATTACATTTGTGTGATAGGTATGTAGAACTCTTCCTCCACACAGAACCATAGGCTAATAAAACGTGGCATACCCACTAAACTCACTCCGATGCATCCCCATTTTAGTGGAAGAACTTAGGGTCTAGAGGAGGCGGATTGTAACCAAATACTGGATTAATCGTAAGCTAACGAACTCGTGGAAATTATTCGCAGTCCAACCGCAAAATCATGTGTTCATAAACGCTTAAAAATCCAAAACAGCTTTTATTGTGTACAGCTAGATGTATGAAGTATTATGATAACGCTTACTTAATCCAGTTACGAGGATAAGAGACGCTAAATTAGCTCGGTGATGTAATTCTCTTTGAACCGTAGATAATGTTTTCAAACAACGTTCTATATTATAATAGCCTTATTATAGACTAGCTTTGTCCTGCACTATAACTTAAACGTCAATGGCAGCGATTTTGATACACAAGTTATACTAAACTTAGCTCAATCCTGTCAAACTCAAATTACATTTGACGAAGAAATACCGTTAAGCATAAGCAAAATTTAAATTATTTATTTTTTAGAGCTTGAGGGAGTGGTGCGTCACCCGTAAACCTAGCACTCATATCTATAGTTTAGAGTAGTAATTAATGGCGAAAATGTTATAATAAAAACGACTGCCAAAATCGAGCTAAAAATAATAAAAAAAAGCAGCCCCTTATTCTCGAACGCAATCGCGACCGCTCGACATTGCAATTTTGCCTCTCCGCACTCTTGATTGATTCACTAGCGCACTCTGGCACTGGCTAGTGTACGCGATCAAGAGTGCAGAACGGCACTAGGTCGTAGGAAGATTGCGTTCGAAAATAAGAGGACTGTTTGTATTATGGCTTAGCCTAACAGAATTCTCATTGCAATCGGGGACCGTTCTGTGGAACTTTTGTAATCTAAGAGATTTTCCGTGCATTCCATAATAAGATATATCGATTATTGAAAAGCTTTGTATGAATGGCTATTTTATTCTGTTAAAATAGTCTCGAACTCGACGTCAAGCGCAGCGCTATGACAGCAAAGATCTCAAATGAAATAAAACCTTCATTACCTTTGAAGTGGGTTTTATTTGATTTAACTTCTAAACTGTGATAACACTGCGTTCGAAGTAGACTTCGAAGCTGTTTTTATAACAGAATAACACTGATGATATGAATTCACAATTCACACAGAACCTACTAAAAGAACACGTATCGCTTACACAATTCTTAAAAATATATCTTTTTGTTGTTTGTACATATAAGCTGCATGAGACATGTAAATATGACCTTACAACCGTCGCCTATGACGTCGGAAGCGAAAATCATAATACACGCCTCACAGACGTATAGTTTTCGAAATCAATTGTATGTTAGATGATTGAAATAGAATGCTCATATACACGTTCGGTGCTGGTGGAAATGCAAATTTTTATCATCATTTTGTAGTTTTAGTTCATACAAAACATCCTTGGTTTGATACCGGATTTATGTAAACTCGTTTACTTACTTAATAGACTTTGGTCGCTATGAAGTTTATTGTATTTTATAAAGGGTTTAGCCGGATACGTATGACGAGTCGGACCCCAAATGGGAATCGATATTGAAACTTATGTTTTAATATCGACTTGATGTTCAAACACGATTTATGTACTTTTCGCGACCGACTTCCGCTTTGACCTTGAGATAGAGAGCAAAATATCCGTATGCTTGACTATTACTGAATGTGATATATCTCTGAAGCTAATTAAGATAAAGAAGTGAAACTAACGCGAGGTGTTAGGTTACATTACAGAGTATATCACATATATTTTTTTATAATTTTTAGAATAAAAAATTATATCAAAAAAATAAAAAAATAAAAAAACATGTTTTTTTTTCTGAGTTCTCTGTGACTTACAATCACGAAATTAATATATGTTATGCTCCTTTGTGTGCTCTATCACCCATAAAAATTGCGTGAAAAAAAAGTTGGTGCAACACAACGAAAAAAAATTATATGTGATTTCTGTCTTATGGTATACCCCTGTATTATAAGGTTTTCACATAACATCATTGTTTTCTTTTTCGAAATTTCACATCAGCTTGTTTTAAAACATAAGTAACTAGTCTTAAGAGATGGGATAATAGTTAAAAAAGAAATGAAAAAAAAACAGCCAGTGTTCAATACTTATTATTATTACTTTTTCGTGTCTATCAAAATACAAGAAACAAAATATTAATCATCGTCACTGTTGTAATTAATTACAATCGGAACACTTTGAGTCGCAAATAACTTAGTTAGTTAGTAAGATTCCTGGTTATAAAAAAATTATAAAGAATGAAGAAGAAGCTAAAGTGTTTAGTGAAAGTCGTAATAGTTAATGATATTTTTTGTAAGAAGTATCGACTTATCCCATATATTAACAAAAAAGCTTCTACTTCTAAATGTGCAGCATTTAACTTGGCCGAAATAATGGACGATCAAAATAATCTCTCAGTACAATATGTGAAATCAGCACCTAATATCATCAAAGCAGAAGTAAAATCAAGACATATAAATAGAAAAATCTATCGAATTTACATTCACTATATTTCCGAAGGTAATGACTACAATAGTATTCTTCGTTATTGCTGTGATTGCCCCAATGGCAAATGTACAGTGGGATGCTGTTCTCATGTAGCAGCTATTATTTATTATCTATCATATGGATGATATTTGTCCAAAATCGTACGTCCTGCTGAGGTCCTAACTAATTTATTTGCGACTCAAAGTGTTCCGATTGTAATTAATTACAACAGTGACGATGATTAATATTTTGTTTCTTGTATTTTGATAGACACGAAAAAGTAATAATAATAAGTATTGAACACTGGCTGTTTTTTTTTCATTTCTTTTTTAACTATTATCCCATCTCTTAAGACTAGTTACTTATGTTTTAAAACAAGCTGATGTGAAATTTCGAAAAAAAAACAATATGTTATGTGAAAACCTTATAATACAGAGGTATACCATAAGACAGAAATCACATATAATTTTTTTTCGTTGTGTTGCACCAACTTTTTTTTCACGCAATTTTTATGGGTAATAGAGCACACAAAGGAGCATAACATATATTAATGTCGTGATTGTAAGTCACAGAGAACTCAGAAAAAAAAACATGTTTTTTTTTATTTTTTATTTTTTTAATGTAATTTTTTATTCTAAAAATTATAAAAAAATATATGTGATATACTCTGTAATGTAACCTAACACCTCGCGTTAGTTTCACTTCTTTATCTTAATTAGCTTCAGAGATATATCACATTCAGTAATAGTCAAGCATACGGATATTTTGCTCTCTATCTCAAGGTCAAAGCGGAAGTCGGTCGCGAAAAGTACATAAATCGTGTTTGAACATCAAGTCGATATTAAAACATAAGTTTCAATATCGATTCCCATTTGGGGGCCGACTCGTCATACGTATCCGGCTAAACCCTTTTGCATAGACAACTATCATTAGCATTTATTGGTCGTACTGTTAAAGCACAAGTCTTCCTTATCGGTAGAAACCGGGACAACGGGCTATAATGGCTCATTTACACTGGTCTATGAGATCAGCACGTGACGTGGGGTGCAGACGACTTCTACAGGCGCATATCGTTGGTCAATACATGAAAGACTGACCAATGATAGCGGGGAACAGATATCGCCTTTACGTTGCACGCGGTTATCATCGTACAGTGTAAATATGCAAAGACAAGGAAAACAACTTGAAGTCGGTAGTAAAACAATTTGAAGTCGATCACAGTGCTGTAATTGGATTTTTATTAAAATGAACCCTTTATTACCTTTTCAATATGTTTTGAAGTAGGTTTTATATTAAACCTCTATGTTGTAAAAGCACTGTGGTTCGACGTCGAGTTTACGCTGAATTTTGTACAGAATATCACTGCGGTGCAGATTGGTAGGTGCTGGCGTCAACAGTCTATTGTCTCTAGTTGTTTTTTAAAGCAGATTACCTAAATATGGGTAGAAATACGCTCACTAGCAGCAGAAAGAATTTTACTCTAGTTTAGATATCTGGTAGCCTATGGAAGAGCATTCGCACCAATAGTAAGAAGTTACAATGTAGAAACCATCTAGAAGTACCTTTTGTGTTTTCTTTTACTCAGTATTAAAAAAAATATATACAATCTCAGAAATGCATCGGCTTTTAAAGATTGCATAGAGTGACTGGCAAACGAGCTTCTTGGTAGAAGTCTCAATAGCACGTGAGTGGATTTAATAATATTGCGAGTGTAATCTTAAAACTAGAGTGTTTTGTTCCACTGTTACCTTCTAATTAACAGAAGTAATTACTTAAATATCCATCATAAAAACTAAAGTCGCAACAAAGTGTCCGAGTGAATGCGCACTTAGCAACTTTAAATAGATTTTATTAATTTTCTTGATTTACTCTGTATTTTAAATTAATTTATCGCATTACTTGAGGAACAAAACCTTTAAACGTTTCATGAGACATGACTTTTTCGTATAATTTTTGGGATCTCAATTAATTCTTTAATAACTTTACTAGAGAAATCATAGGAAGAAATTCTTGTTTCTATTAGATTATAAATAAATATTTCTCTATTACAATGGAAGATGTAGATATATTTAGTTTACAAATTACAATAACATTTGAAATTTTATCTTTTATTCAGCAATTTTACAATTAAGTTTTTTTTTTACCGATCACTTGTGTAATATTTCTTGTATAAACAATGATTCCGTAAATGCTGGTTTTTGGTGTTATAATTTGCCGTTTAAGTCAGCACAATGTCTTACCGAAAAAAAAGTTTGTATCGATATAGTCAATTCATAAAAATAATTTTTTAGTAAATATTTTGAACCAACTTACCGAACGAGGAAAGAAAATCCTTTGTACTATTTTTATGAGAAGTCTAGTCACAGTAGTTTTAAAATAACACACCACGTATTTTTAATTATGTAGTCACACAACTTGAAAAATATAAAAATATTTTTAGCGGATAATGCACGCGGTTGCGTTCGTTCCGTCCGCTGCGCGATGGCGGACTGACAACGAGACGAACGCGCTTTTCCCAATACTCTCGGGTTTGGTAGTACACGGGAATCGTTCGGAGGCGCGACGCGTGCCTTAATTATTTTTTATTTTTAGTACCTCCCCCTGTCAAAGTGCGTGAACGGAGATAACACCACGTGATGAAGTCAGGTTGGTGTGTGATATTCGTACGCGGTCAGCTTTATCTCATGGCGCAGGTATCGTGATAGTTCCCCGCCTAACTGTCTGCTGTCATTGGAGATAGCGTGTGAATTTCGACCCTGTTGATATTAGGTATCCGCTCGTACTGAGCGTTTAGGTAGTTTAATTAATGCCATAGGTTATCGAGTTGTGAAAATACCTCCTTTTAACCATGCTGAAACATAAACAATTCTCTCTATAAAGAGTACAATTTTAAATCATTCATATACAATTTTTAAGTAATAAACCATTAACATTTAAACTTGTATTTAAAAATAGTAATACCGAAATAGCCCGGACTAAATATTTTTCTCGTGATCCTTCGCCGTTTTCTTTCATTACTTTGAGGACAAGTGTCTCATAAACGGGTATTTTTTGCATTTAAATTAAATCGTTGAATCTCAAATAAATAGCTAAAGAAATTTCGTATTATTGACACATGTGGTATTATTCAAATTTGAAACGACGAAGGCCCACCCACAACACCCCGACCCGAGGCAATTTTTTCCATATTGACCCGAGAGATAGCAACACCTTGAAACCGGTTTACGAACCACTCAGCCACGGAGGTCGTCAAAATATTGATAATTATGTTCAATATACAAACGCATTTCAAGTATTAGATACACAACACAACTAATTAGACACCATATTTCAATGAATTATTTATATAAAACAAACGGTCAGTTGCATAAATGTCCATTAAGGTTTAATGACGCCTTTGAGCTGTAATTAATGTCAAATTTGTATGGGTAATTTCGCTTAAAATTAACGACTATTTTAACAGATGTTTGTGCAACTGGCTAAAAGATCTTCAGTCGTTAATCATATTAGTTAATGTTTATTAAACAGGCATGAAAATGCTCAGGGGTTTGTTTAATTGGTAGAAGGTTTGAAATCTGATTAACTGCTGTGTATGTGTACAAAATATCATTTGAGGAGTTATCAATACTTTTATTTTAACACACCTTTGATTCTCATTTTATTTTACATTAGGTACACGTTTTGTCATTGACGTAAATGAATAAACATAAATAATGTTTGAATAATAAATAAGACAAAGTCGAATTTACGTAAAGTTTTCTGTACAATGTTAACTTGTTTCTTTTTTTTTTACGAAATGATTAATAATCATATAACGTTTCTGTTTAAATACTAATAGTAAGTTCTCATCGTCTTATTATAATACAAGGACTAAGTTTAGTACCAGGTTGAAATTTTTATGCGACAAAAATAAATAAACACGTATCAATATGACTTTTTCTCTTCAGTCATTATCAATTTGCTTTATGCGGCTAACTTTAGGCCTCGTTAGTTAAACACTAAATTTTAATTATCTTTTCTTATTGAATAATGAAGAGGACTGACAGAGAAGGTTGTCCTGAGTTCTCCAGATGGAAGGATTAAATTTTCTTCCATTTTCAATGACTAAAAAACTTCGCTTATCGTATCAATGATGTTACAATATCGTTACATATGTCTGTTAACAAGTAACCAATTTCCTATACCATCAAATTCGCAGATACCATAGATATCTAAGTATCTCGTGAGCTCATAAGTTTCGAGACCACTTTTTACTGAAAAAAAAAAAAAAAATAAAATGTTACTTGCTGTTATTTACTTTTTTACCCATTTTGAATTTAGAATGTTAACTTTTAGGTGAACGAAACAACTACGTGCAACTGTTTTTTCGCTATTTAAGGCGGGAGAAAAACTAATGCATATTTTCCGCAAGCTGAAAAGTTTTCCTGTAAGCCGTAACTTCGTCTATTACACAATACAGCGTTACAAAAAGAAAAGTTCTCTACAAGATCGCCAAAGGAGTGGCCGGCCACGCACTGTGAGGACGCCTGCGAATTTCAAAATCATCCGATAGCGACTTCGCCGAAATCCATGTCGCATTCAGAAGAAACTTGTTCTGCTGGCGAGCGAATATTTCGCGCGTTTCAGTGAACAGAATACTCAAATATGATCTTGAGGTAAAGGCCTATAGCCGTAGAAAAGTTCACTTTTTAAACGGTCGTCTTCGTAAGTTACGACTCTAACGTTGTCCATTGCCGTTGAGGAGACATGATGCCAGGAAAATACTCGTCACCGACGTGAAAAATTTTACCGTCGAAGAAAAGTTCAACCGCTAAAACAATAAAGTGTATGCTAAAAATAGCAAGAATGTCCCAGCTTCTGCACGAAATGTCTCGCGCACTCATCATCCGGCTAGTGTGATGGTATGGTGGAGAGTTTCGTATGAAGGTGTCACTCCGCAAGGCGTCAAGATGAAAGCCAAGAATTATCATAGTGACATTTTAGAGCCCTTGGTGAAACCCATATCTGATAAGCTTTTTCACAATAAGGATTGGGTTTTTCAGCAAGACTCGTCGCCATCCCATATGGCAAAGAGCACCCAAGCTTGGTTGAGGGAGAATGTGCCAGCCTACATCGCGGCGGACAAGTGGGCCCTCCTCCAGCCCCGACCTCAACCCGCTGGATTACTCTTTATGTACTGAATTAGAGCTCAGGGCCTGCCGAAAGTCCGATCCAAACTTAGAGTTACTGAAGCGAACCAAATGGGCCATGTGCTGTCATTTATTGAACCAACTTGTAAATTATAGCAGACCCACCCAATAGCAAAGAATGTGTAGCCTATTGATCAACTGATACTTTAAAAAACGGAGGATCTGGGCGCGATAGTATTTAAATGAATTCCTCGTTACGTAAACCTAGATCTATCTAAATCGGTTCAAAGTAAACTGTCCATACGAGTTTTTCTTCAGCTAGACTTCTCCTTTCATGGTTACATCGAACGTGTTTACTTAACGCCATACCGGATTATCCCACGCGTCTAGATTAAACTTATTTAACCCAGATAAAACTAGTTTGATCTATAATCGTATTTCGCTAGAGATATTGTGTTATGCCCATTAAAACCTCTGAACAAATCGACGGAAAATCGTGAGCGATACAATAATAAAACATTACATTAAAACCACGGAAATGTAGTAAGTATTGTAATATACTATTACTCGTAGCTACTTGCTACGGAATCGCCACCCCGCCAAGAGAAACATAATTACGGTAATGTGATGGTAAGCTAAAAGTAATTGATTTTTTATAAAAAAAATAAGCAGTTCATCAGCAAGAACGACATCAGTATTTGTAATTATGTCATAAAGGTTTTTGTGGGATATGTGGTATTTGTTGGATATTTTGGACAAAATCTTTTAATGACAAATCAAACAAGACGGGCTTGCGTTCCACGGCTCCCTTTATCACTAAATAAGCTACATTGCACTGTCATCCAAAATATACTAAAACAAAATATACTTTACGCAATATAATAATATCGATTGAAGTCGTATTTCATTATTAATATTATTGACTTTTTTACAAATATTGTCCGTGTATTATAAAAATATGAGTTTCCAAATATAATATAAGCAATATTTATGTATTTCATGGAAGTAACATAAGTAACAGCGTGAAAATACGTAGAAGTCACTTTATATGTATTTTGCTTATCATGCCATTGAAAAATTAAAGGAATTTTTTTTTTTTTACTAATAATCCGAAAGAAAATGTCGTTGGATTAATTCATATATTAAAAAGGAAATATATGATACCCTCATAATAAAAAAAACAGCTGTTATGTTTTAATGTTTGATCTCCATACTGAAAGTTGGTATTTGTATCAGGCTATAGATTATTGCCAACGTCTTCAATTCATCGTCACACTAACAAAATTTACATAAAAACTGTACACCAATCTTTTGAATTCACTATCTCTGCCAATCTTGATATAAACTATACGAAATCAGTTTTATGGATATTTCTCATGAAATCTCATTCATCCAGACTTTGTTTTACATATTATGTAAGACTATGTGCTTGTGACCACAACTATTCGAATTACCGTAGTCTGTGCCAAAACCAGTTTTTCCTACGCACGTAGATTAATCCGGTTCAACCTAAAGAATACTCGATTGTCGGAACCATGTATAGAGAAGTTAGTTAGCTGAAAAGAAACAGGCGTTTGTCTATGGGCGGGAAAAAGAAGCAGACAAACCTATTGAAGTATTGGAGTGTGGTAAAATAACGTGTTTTTTTTTCTATGGTGTATTCCGTTGCTGGTGACTGTACGGTCAGTTACGTAAACTGCGGAAGGAGCATTCGTGACATTGAAACTGTTTTTCATCGTTGTCTGTTGCGTCGTTTTGGTACGAGTACGACAAGTATTGTTTTGAATAACACAGATCTCTTGTGACACGTCAGTTGTTCAATGTTCTACGTTAGTTGCTCTTTATTCCGTCATCTGAATATTAGCATTGATGCTCTGGTGTATTTTATACTTTGTAGAAGACCAACTGTTGTCTCCAATTGTTTTAAAACTACGAACATAAATACTTCAGGAGTTGTTATCTCTTAAAAATTTTTAGGATAGAAGTTCTCTCTTATTTTCGTAAATTAGGAGAGCGTTTATACCAAAAAGTAACTTTCAATCAGGTACGCTTTATTATAAGGAAAAATAATAATTATATGAGCCACTTTGTACCCGAGTACTATATAGTGCTGTTTGAATAAAGTTTCATGCGCTATTCCCTATCCTCTTTTTAATCTATCTTTTGTCTTTATACCCAATATATTATAAGAAAATATCAACCCGAAACAGTAATATGATATTACCGCATCGTATGTTCAAGGCAGTTTGGAGAGCTTCCTTGGTTAATATTGACAGTTTTTATAGAAGAATGCTGACTTTCGGTCTCTACTTGAGACTCCACGCTTACGTAACTTAATATAAATTTTCATTAAAATTGAAAT